ATTTATTTTCTTAAAGAAATTTTTTTTCTTGTTCTCTTGTTTGAGGAGACAAATCCTCAAAAAGCAAAGAAGTAACTCAAAACAGATACTCCCTCCCCCCAAATTGAAACCTTTCAGTATAACTAAAAAGGGAGTTCTATGTACTAGTACATTAATAGGCTCTGAGAGCACCCCTGTGTTGAGAACAGTAACTTGTGTTTCTAAGGTTAGCCCTAAATATTAAGCAAAGATTAAATTACATCATTGTATTCATATATTAAAAATATGTCATAAAAATAATGAAAATCCAGATTTGCTCTTGGAAAAAAAGTCATTTGGAAAATAAACTAATATATGAGGTCAGACGATTATCAATGTGTGTGTGTGTGTGTGTGTATTCTGGAAATATATTCTTTGGTGCTGACATTTATATATTTAATTTCCTTATGGATTAAAACATATTCTTTTAGCAATATAACCAAGAAGTAGAATATTTAATGGGTTGATGACACAAGTAGAGATGATAGTAATAATGTCAAATTATGGATAATTTTCTCATAAACTGAGTGATGATATTGTGTTCTGTGACACAGATTTCATTCCCATCTCCATCTGGACATGGTGTAGCTGCAGGCCTAGGGATTGGATACAAGTGGATGGATGGATAGTATAAATCCATCCTCAATAATTAATAAGTAACCCAAGGTTGTCTTGTATAACACAATTTTGAGGAGCTACCTACCATGTTCAAGGCTTGTTAGTAGATTCTGGGATGTGTGGGGATCCCATAATAGCCTTGGACCTAGTTTCCTATATTGATGGATGCATTATTACTGAAGTTGGACTACTGTATGGGGACTCCTTTTATGGAGAAAGATGTGCAAATGTTAATCCTTGCTTGGCAAAAGGCAGAACATTTTTATTCTAAACCCTCATAGAGAAGATGATCATTAGACATTCACTCTGTACACCTTTAACATGTGAGGCAAAGCTAGGCTCTGCAACCCAGTGCTGTTTCAGGGAGCACTTGGAATCGTTTTGGGGAGCATCTCCAGAACATTGTCCAGGATTTGGATTCAAACAAAAAGCCAACCTATTGGCTTATTTCCATATCTGTGCTCATTATTTACTTAAAGGGGGACCACATATAATCCTCCCTCCTGTGGACCGAGTTGGTGAGCCCAATCTGGAAAAGTGATCAACTGTGACTTCTAGGGTGAGGGTCCCAGGCTACAGCCCTCAGTGACCCTTGTATTATTTTCTTTCCTTCTTTCCCACTGAGTTTGGACTCAGCTGCCCGAAACGATGCCTATGAAGCTGTCACACTCTGTTGTGTCAAAGCGACTCAAGCACCTTTGGGCTGGGACCATTGAAATGATGGACTGTTATGGTCTTCCCTCTTAATGCTCATTTAATGCCTATTCTGGGAGCACTTCATTTACACCTCATTTACATGCTAGGTAATTTTGGGTGAAAATTCAGTATTACTCTTGCATGTGAGCCATGTTTTATTTAAATAAGATGAGCCCCTTTTACCCTAAGTACAAGCCTGTACATGTATTTCTAAACTATTTGCAGGAAGACTTATCATGGAACTATATTACAATTTTTACCAAAATAATGCTCAGGTTTCAAAGGAGGAAAATAGGTTAAAACAAGAAAAGTTTTCTTTTCAAGTTTTGTTTATGGTAATTCTTAAAAAGAATGCATAAGAATTACAGTCTCATGTAATAAAATTTAGCCTCGAGGTTTGTTACCTTACCCATGTCTTAAATTTATAGACAGTAGGAATACAAATGCTAATATAACACAAACCTTGGAGCAGTCAAATCATTATGTATCACATTAACTGGGCAGCTTCAGAGATTGTTTATAAATACTGTTTCTGATTTCTGTGTCACAGAATTAAAAAGTATAGAAAGTGGCTTTATGTATTTATAGAAATAAATTAAAATTTAAGATTAAAAGACAGAAAAGACTATAGTTGTCCATAGAAGTTTCATCATACCTAGATATCGAAACAGAAGAAAAATTTTTTTCAAGTCAGAGTTTTATTATGTTGAAGAAATTACTGGGGAGCAAATGAGATCTCCTTCCTTAGTAGCTAAATAAATAGAGACATGTATTTCACTTATTTATGGTGATTATAAATGACCAGGGTGAGAATTTTAATGGTGTTACCACAAGGATAATGCCAATCACTTTTAGTCCAGTTTTGTTTTTTAATGGGTGTGGGAAGCAACAGAACATACAATTCTTAGAGAGTTCTTTTAATTAAAATTGGAACTAAAAGAGTTATTTGGGGAATGTTTCTCTAAATGGAGAATATTGATAATTTTAGTTGAATTCTGATTTGAGTATGTAGTAAACTGAAATGCAGGGATTTCTCTCCAACTACATGGACGATCTTAGCGGATTAATGACTGATCATTTCAAGGGTCAAAAGGACTGGAACCAGCTTTGGATGTGAGAAAATGAGCCCCTGCATTTCCATTTTAAGAGTTTACTCAGCTGTGGCTAGAGATACATTAACAACAAGTTGATTTCAAAGTTAGAGTGTTAATATTGCTAATTTATAATGACTGATGCAGTTGGCAATTATTTAACCTGTGTAATCACGCCTCTGTCCTCTGCCAACCTCAGTTCCACACCGATGGCTTTGAAATGCCATTTCCCATCCGTCATTATGAAGCTGGAAATGACTCTTTGCACCTGGTTCACAGTTCTTTGTACCCTCCACAGTCTCGCACGGATAGAAAACCCCGGGGTTTGGGTGACTTGGGGAGTGTTTTATTTCTGGTCTACACATCTTGAGATGGCCCTGGTAAATGGGCCTCCATTCTAGGAAGATGACACAAGACCGCGAGGGGATTTGCACTCCCTATAGTCAAGGAATGATAAAGCAGCAGAAGAAAAGCGGGAAATACAAAAACCAAAAGAAAATTCCCAAAACAACACAACAGAAAGATTTCCAGTAGCCACGGAGAACCCTCCAGCGCCCAGATCCCGCAGCAACGGTGGTGTTCACAGCCTCATGGTAGAGCGTGCAGGGCTGGCTCTGGGTCCCTCATTGTCCTTTGCTTGTTTAGCCTCCCAGGTCGGCACTGGTTTTTCTTCCAGGCGCTTCACTAGCACTCCTTCCACTTCAGGTGCTCAGCACCCCTGTGCTCTGCTAGACAGGGAAGCCTGTTCTCCCAGCACCCTGGGGCCCTCACGCACCCAAGAGCACAGAGCCCAGAGGTTGTTGCTTAACCAGGAGATGCAGCCGAGTCTGTAGAATTTCCTCAGACTCTATAAGGCCACCTAATCAGTTGGATACTTGGCTCATTTAGGATGGAATTTCCAACACACCCTTTCAGCTCTCCTAGAGCAAAAGAACTGACAGCTGGAGGTTGATGATGTGGGGACTGAGGCCATGAAGAAAGGAGCAGATATGAAACATGTATTTGTGTATTCGTGCTTACTCATCTTTTAAAAGAATTGATTTGATAAAAGTCCATTTTAATCTCATCACAGAACCAGCCCTTGGCTTTGTTGGTTGTCTCTATTTTATTTTTGTTTTCTATTTCATTCATTTCTGCATTTACATTTTTATCACCCTTTCTGTTTTTACCTAATGTCCTACATTTGATGCTTAGCTCTTTAATTTTTAGTTTTTGTATGATCTACCAGAGGTTTTTAAGGATATACATTTCGTCCTAGGTTCTGTTTTTGCTACATCCACAAGGTTTAATATGTAGTATTTTTATGATAATTTATTTCTGAGTATATCTAAATTTCTCTGATTTTTTCTTTGTGTTATTAGAAAGTTTGTTCTTAAAATTTCCAAATATGTGGGTCCTCCGCCACTTTTGTTATTAACTTCCAATCCTTCGCAATTGCATTGTTTTGTGGTCAGAGGACAGGTTCTAGTTGACCTGGATTTTTTTGAAATTTGCTGAGACTTGCTATGTTGGCCTAGAATTGTGGTCAGTTTTTGTACATGTTCTGTGTATGCTTGGAAAGAATGCATATTCTTTAATTGTGGGAACCAGGGTTCTATTTTCATGCAGGAAACCATACCTATAAATGATGCCAGTCAGTTATATCGGTGATCTACTTCCTAAGTTTCCTCACCCTGCTTTGTGCTTCAGGAGGCTGACCCGTATAAACTTCATCAAGCACTCTCTACCCTGGCTTTCTTGGGGTCATCCAGTGGGAGCGATGGGCAGAGATTGGAAAGGTTGGCATATTAACACGTCCAGCTCCCTCCTGCCGGACCATTTTGGCAAAGACTGCAATCCTCTGTCAAAGGCCACAGATTGTCTGGCACCCTCTCCGTTAGCTACAGCTCTCACTGGTGTTGGTAACCAACCCCTCTCTCGGGGCCCTTTAGGCCTAGGGGCCTGCTAGCCCTGGGTGTACTTCGCCATCCATTCTTGGTTGGGGGTCCCTTAACCTTACCCATAACTTGTGAATGTGTAATTAAGCTCTCTCTCTTCACCTCATCTGAGTGTGGCATCACTTTCTGCTAGGATCCAACTGATAAACTCTCCACACTCGTTTTTGCCTACTTGCCTTAATAATAATGGATGGGAATCTCCCATTATGACAGTGGATTTGCCAATTTCTATGCTTTATATAATTTTTTCTTTATATATTTTGAGGCTATTTTTTAAGAACATGTAAGTTTAGAATTGTTGTCTTCCTGGTGAAATGAATCTTTTGTTATTACATAGTGGCATCTCTATATTATTTGGTCTCAGGTCCCATTATGTTCTTAAAAATTATTGAGAACCCAAAGAGAGTTTATCTGTGTAGATTATATCTACCCATATTTACCAGGTTATAAATTAAAATGAATAAAGATTAAATATTTATCTATTACTTCATTAATAAGAACAGTAATACACTTATTACATGTTAACATAACTAACATTTTAAAAATTAAAAAAATCATATTTTCTTTGAAACAAAAAAACGAGTGAGAAGAGTGGCATTGTTTACATTCTTGTAAATCTCTTTAACGTCTGGTTTATTAGAAGACAGCTGGATTCTCACATCTGTTTCTGCATCTAATCTGCTGGGATATGTTGTTTTGGTTGAGGTTGAGGAGTATGAAGAAAATCCAGCTCCACACAGATACAGAGTTGGAAAGAAAGCAGCACTGTCATAGCCTTTTCAGATGATTGGGCGTCTCCATCTTCGATGCGACTCTAAAACTCATGAGCAGTGGTTCCTTAAAAGTCAGTTAGACGATGAAATCTGAAAACAGATCAATGAACTTTTCTTATTCTGTTACATTAAAACCTATTGCTCCACCTTGTACCTTGAATGGATCTCTTACCCATGCATGATTTTATGTTATTCATTGGTCATTTGGAAAATGTTAGCTCATGGAGCTATGCAAACCTTCTAAATGCTGACACATTTCGTTATGCAATATTAAAAAAGTCACATTTGTGCTATGCATTGTATGTAATGAACTCTAGCTTCAACTCTGCTTTCAATTCACTGTCTTTAAAAAGTGATCTAAGCTTTTCTAGTCTCTAGTTTTTCCATGTGTGAAATGGGGGTGGTCATTATGCTTTCCTTTCAGGGTGTCTTGAGGAAGAAAAGAAGTAATGGTGATGAATGCATTTTGTGAATATTCAGGTGCGATTTAAACAGGTGTAAGGGTTGAAAGATTAGAAGATTGTATCCTTATTGTCTCTTCTAAAAAAGCCCAGATATTAACATTTGAATAGAGTAAAAGCAATGCTTATATCATCATTACTATTCCTCTATTTATAAAATAATTGATATAATATTCACTTTTTGCCATGGGGATCAATAAAATAATTTGCATTTTGAGTGAACAAAGGAACACATTTGGCCCATTGACATGTTTCTTTTTCTTGAACTGGCCCTTCTAGAAAAGCTGCTTTCACTGATCAGTTCAGCATGTTCATTGTATGGATAAGGCAGCTGAGAACCAGAGTTCCAAGGACATATATCAGGTGAAAGCCAGACTTCAGTCAAAGCCTTTATCTTCTGGAGCCAATGCTTGCTTCATTATTTTGTCTCTCAAAGTTCCATTGGTAACATTTTGAGTATTTTCAGATGGAGGAAGAGAATGTCCAATTATTTCTATTTGTTAACTTATTTTTTTTAAAAAAAATGATTTTATTGATTCTTAGAGAGAGAGGAAGGGAGCAGGATAGAAAGATAGAAACATCGATGAGAGAGGAACATCATTGACCGTCTTCCTCCTGCACACCCCGTCACTGGGGATCGAGCCTGCAACCCCAGGCATATGCCCTGGCCAGGAATTGAACCAGCAACCTCTTGGATCATGGGTTGATGCTCAACTGCTGACCCACACTGGCTGGACTTAACTTCTGAGTTTCAAAAAATCATATCACCTGTTCCACTGATTCTTTCTGAATTCTTGGCAACATTTTGAATACTTGAATTTTTTGGCAGCACACATTCAGAGAAAAAAAATTAAAAATTGAAAAAAGTTTTTGATAGTCATCACACTATGTGCCGACTCTTTCAGCACCAAATGCTGTTTGCGTGGAGCTGTTAACTGCCATGGCTACACTATCTTGTAAATTCATAAGGGCAAAGGTCTAGTGAGCTATGCTGAATGTGGGCTCTCTCTTCCAGGCTGACTTGATGTACCCTGTACTGGCAGGAAATTGTACCAATCTGTAGGCTGCATACTGCAACCCATGCAGCTCAAGAGTTTATCTGCAAACATTGCCAGTATGTGCTCTCAATTAGTAAAAATGCAGTTTTCACATTGATTGGACTCCGATGGCACCCCTGGCAGGGTTTAAGGTTCATCAGGGTACCATGCATGCCAAGGAGAAGGAGTGGGATGCAAGCCGTTGCCATAGGGCACCAGGCCCCACCACACTGCCTCTGCCTCCCCCAGCTCATTTCTGAGGGATCATCATGAACTCCTTGTAGAATCTGTCCTGCCCTATCTCTTGAACCCAACAGGAAATATAGCTACGGTTCAATGGTACTCCTCCCTTACTCCTTGTTTATTCAGCGGAATTTAGAATTAATTTGCTCCCTCCTGTCCCAGGATCCAGTGGCTCAGATACAATCAACCAGTCTCATTTGTTCTTAAGGCACATTTACTATCAGTCAACCCCGTGGCCCAAAGAAAGGACTCTCAGGTATCTGAGTTGCTTTTGGACTATCTTCTCCCTCACTCCTTGCCCACCTCATCTCCAATCCCTTTCCATGACTCCATTGGCCTCCTCTGAACCCCAGTGTGGTATGCAAGGGCCAGATTTCTACTTTAATTTTGTTCGTGCTACTCTGTAGGGCTAGAATCTTAACAATAGAGGTAGGTCAGGGCAAGGGGATGAAGTTGGGTGGGGGAGGGGGTGAGGAATTGAGAATTTATCCTCAAGTGTTGATTTATTTATAGAGAAGATGTTAAAACCCATATTTCAGCCCCAGTGAAAGATTCTCTGGAATCATTCCCAGAACACACACACACACACACACACACACACACACACACACACACACGGAATGTTGCCTAAGGGACAAGCTCTTTAATGGTCTAAAGAATATAAATTGGAGCAAAAGAACACATTTTAAACTTTAGCCCTAAGACAGGACCCAAAATTAACATCCCTTCTCCTCAAAAGGGAAACAAACAAACCAACAGTTCCCCGCAAACAACAAATCAGCAAAACAAACTCATAGAGACAATCAACATGTTCCCAGACTCATTCTGCAGCTCATGATAGAAATACCAACCAAATCTGCCCGAACCCTGAGCCACCCATTTGGATGCAGGAGATCGTCTACAGTGTGAGAGAAACTGAAGATAAAATAGCCACCAAATGATTTGGAGAGAAAATGAGCCAAATGCCCAACCAAACAAAGATATGGATTGAAAAGACATGGCTGAATACACCGAGTTATGTAAGAGTCTGAGAAAGAATTCATAGGGTTTCTGGAAACACAATTTCATCAGAGCTGAAGGAAAATGAAAAGGAAGACAGCAGGCATAATTGCCGTGAACAATCGTTTCCTGCTGGGACAGAAGAGTTTTACCATCAGCTCCGTTAGAATACACCCAGGCAAATACAGAAAACATGGAAATAAATACTTCTCATAAAATCAGGATGGGAGGACAAAAGGGCACCCAGAGACATGCCATGTGTTGCAGAAAAGAGAGTGGGCAAAGGCCAGAGCAGGTGATAATAGAAAAAGAGAAGTGAGAAAATGACATCCCTGTGGGCATTATTAGGGTGAAGGAAAGCAGGCAAATGGAAGTCGCTTGAGATGTAACGGAGCAAAACATCCAGAGCACCCCAGGTCAAATCCTGTTAGCGCAAATAGTGTCACAAAGAAGCCTCTTTATGACAAAAAAAGCAAGGAGTGTAAGCACAGGAGAAGAAGTGGCAGCTAGAAGTCAGGAGAACTGGTCCTAATTCTGTTTGTTTGTTTGTTTGTTTGTTTTCCCCCCACCTGGCTCTATTTCCTTGGGAACATTTGCTGACCTTTCTCAGCCAGAGCTTTCTGTAACTCCAAGGACTTAGCCCAGAGCAGTGATCTGGAACTTTTTTTGCAGCCTGACCCCTTTAAGAATCTGATGAAATTTGTCAATCTTCTTCCCAGAAAAAGTTTACATGGGCTGATACGAGATTTTACATACCATCTCCAGGGGGTCATAGAGACTTTGAGAGGAGACATTAGACTTTAGGTTGCGACTGTCCCTTGGACTGATCTCTCTTATCATTTCCGGCTTGGAAAGCCTATGCTTCTATGATTTCCAGGTGGTCACGTGTCTACTTAATTCAAATAATGTTTAATTCAACACAACTCCAGTACAAGGCAGGTTGTGGGAGCTTGTGTAGAGGGGGTTCCACTATTTAGCAGTAAAATGTACATGCAAAAGGCAGTCTGGGGGATTGTTAAATTGGCTCACAATAGTTCGCCCTTTCTCTTTTAGCAGCACCGGGTTTTTTGTACACTCAACCTTGCAGTGAAATTTAACCTAACCTATTATCAGGGCTTGTCTTGGCTCAATTCTTTTTATTTTGATTATCTCGTGTTCCTTGCTTTGCCCCATCCCCTCTCTCTCTCTTTTCTGACCTTATTGCCTCATCCTCCTTTATCTGACTTTCTTCTTTTATGAAGTGATGAAGTGATTAAGGCTAGTGCTTTGAAGGTGGATGACTTTAGAAAGAACTTTTCATGTGCCAGAGGTAGTATCAGGACAGAGAGAACTATAAAGAAATATGAGACACAACCTCTGCTCAAGGAATTTATAATGTAGTTGGGAAGATAAGATATGAACACATGAAAAGTGAAATAATCATAAAGAATTAGATTACAAGAGAGAAGATTACAGTGCAAGAGGTATCTTCAAAGGGTTTGTCTGTCATGTCGATGAACCTCCTGGGTCATTAATGCTGTAGGTTTAAAGGAAGATGAAATCAGCGGGCCTGGGAAGGCTTCATGGAAGAGATACATCTTGGTGTAGGGCAGGGGCCAGGCCTGGAAGGCTATGGGTGGTTTGAATGATTGGGAAAATTCAATGGAGAAAAAGATGAGAGGACATTTGTCTTAGTCAGTTTTGGCTGCTATAACATAATGCTATAGACTGGGTATCCACAGAAATTTATTTCTCACAGTACTGAAGGCTGGGAAGTCCAAGGTCAAGGTGCTGGCAGGTTTGGTGCCTGGTGAGAGCCAGTTTCCTGTCTTCTCACTCTGTCCTCACAAGATGGAAGGGGTGAGGGAGCTCTCTGGGGTCTCTTTTATGAGGGCACTAATCCCATTCATGAAGGCGTCATCCTCAAAGGCCCCACCTTGGGGATTAGAAATCAACATAGGAATTTTGAGGGGACACAAATATTCAGTCTATAGCAACATTTTAATTCAAATTCATCTCCTCTCTTTTCTCTTCCATGGCCTGAACAGGAAGCACTGCCTCCCGTTCTCTAACTCAAATGATCACTTAGCCCATAATTGGCGGGCCACAGAAGATGGGCCAATCTTTGGACTAAGGCAAAAGCACCTAGCCGGCATCTACCAAAAAAGGAAAGAAAAAGTTGACCTGCCTACTTTTTGGGACAGCCCATTCATTCATTTATTTAATAAATGCTTAGTGGGTACCTACTGTGTGTCAGGCATTGGGCTACCCCTGGGAATACAGCAGGCACAGGTGGTCCTGAGCCCTTGGCGCTTAGTGAAGGGAAGCCAGACACCAACTTACATTGTGTGCGGGAGGCTTCATACTCAGAGGACCCGCTGGGCATAGCACGGTCACCCTTCGTGATTTCAGGTTGATTTAAGAGTCAGATACTACCCACCCTCGTTCTATCAAGAGCTATTCTATTATTCAGTTGGTGGGTGGTTGGTGGGGGCCACCACGAGCAGCCACTTGTTCAGAAACAGAATTTCTGATCCTGGGAAATGGCAAACATACTAACAGAACAACAACCACAAAAATTAAAGCGGTAAGTGGATTTCAGCATTCAGTTCCAGGTTAATGAAGCCAGCCATGTGGCCAGCATGCAACGTAGAAGTCTTCCCAAAGGTTGGGAGAGGTACAGCATAGCGATCGGTGGTTTTTACCAAGAATGCAAATAGCAGGGAGGAATGAGTAGGGCTTTTGAAAAAATGCCAAAAATGAGGCAGCGCAAAAGAGATAAATAAAATACACAGTAAAGAGGCAAAATAATAAAATACTGCAATTTGGCCTCCCAGCATGAAGGAGGGGAGCTGAGACGACAAGAATGGATTAGAATTCATGAGTCATTTGTTTGGAACCCGGATGGTTGGAGAGGCTGGAATGTGCTCCCTTCCAACCCCGAGATCCCTGCAGAATGGACCCACTCTCTCATTCTTTCTCCTAGGAGGCTCACCACTCCTTTTTTTTTTTTTTTTTTTTTTTTTTTTTTAAGCAGCAGGTATGGGCCTGGCACTGTGCTAGATGTTCACCTGTATCACCTTTCATCTCCACAAAGCCCTGCAAGGAATGAATGAGGAAAGCAGAGATGGGGAATGACCTGCTCTAAAGGCGACTCCGCTAGTGTGGAGGACACGGCTACTTCCAGTCTCTCTGACTATGTTTTGGTGCCTCCCCCTGCCC